TACGGTGTGCAATTGTATATGATGGTTGTAACTTGTAAATATTTTATAAGTTTGATAATGGAAATGAAAATGTGTATTCTCCCTGATTACTCTAGTTTAATTGTCCGGGTATTTTAAGGTTTCCGCTGTTTAATTTAAATCTCTATTATTTATAAGTGAGGTCGGCGATACCCTGGGATGTAACATCCTGAATTTCGACCTATTTCCGGAATCAATGAAATAGATGTTATTTCTCATTTCATTTTAGTAAGTCTCACCCGGAACTGATCATTCTCGGGATACTAACCTTTAGGGAATGGCTACCTAGGGAAATGTACGTGGACCTAAGAACTCGATCATGAGTCGACCTTCGGTGACGATCGAGGTCGCCATGACTCGAATAACCATAGGTCGATACGCGTAATCCCTAAACAGCCGCCCGTTAGTGAGAGACCCTAAAATTGAGATTGGGCGATTTTGATCGCGAAATTGGATCCGGACTTGGATGTCGATTTTCGAGGTCGTGCGCGACTATTTTTACGAGGATGACGTCATTTTAGTGTGGCTAATGATGTTTGGGGTAAGTACGGTCGAAAAATGGAATTTCGACCCAGAACTCAGAAATTACAGTTTTGCCCCTGTGGGCACCGAGGCTGGATTCGGAGGCCGTTTGAGGTTATTTTTCGCGGCCAAGGTCATTTTGGGGTGGCCACGCACATTTAGAGTGGTTTTGGCCAAAAATTGGAATTTCGACAAAAATTCGAAAAATAATATTATTTTATTCCCGGAACTTCGCAATTGATTTTCGAGGGCTTAGAAAGTGAATTTCGCGATTCCGACACCACATTATGTTGGCCACGCACATATGGAACGCTTACGTGCGAAAATTGGAATTTCGCCCCGGGACCGGAAAATTACCATTTTGCCCCTGGGCTAATTTTTGGATCAGAATTTTTTTTGGATAAATTGGGATAATTATGGATAAATATCAGCTGCATCCTTGGGGACCATTGACCCTTTTGCCCCTCTCTTTTTAGATAAGAATGAATAGGAACCATTTAATTAGGGGCATTTTAGTCCTTTTTACCTAAGCTTGACACATGGCACCCCTAATTAAATTATTTGACCAAGTTGGCTGATCTCTCTCTCTCCTCACTCACTCTCACGTGCAGACCAGCCCTCTTCAGAAATTTTCTCCCCATTTTCCCACCTTTTCTCTCTACTTTCTCTCCATTTTCCTTCATTTTCTCTCTCGCCGGAGTTTCGCCGGAGTTTCGCCGGAGCCACGCCGGCCAGCCGTTCCACCTTTCCGCTCTAGCCGAGTTAGTCTAGAGTCCGGTAAGTCGCGATCTAATCCCTATTTAGGACGTCGGGTATTTTCGGACTCGTTCGGGTATAGTTTAGAGGATTTAGAGGGTGATTAAGGTATTGATCATGATTATTGGTGGTTAATCATGGCTATTGGTGGCTGAGTATGACTGTTAGTGGTTGTTGCGGGTTGGATTAGATGTCGGGAAATGAGTTTTGGCTGTTGGAATTCGGTAGAAATCGATTCGGGCTTGAATCCGTGAGGTTCGGGGTGAATCGCGGATTCGCGGTTACTGTACCCACCCGGTTTTCTATTTTTGTAGAAAATTTTGAGGGTCGAATTTGAGGAAGTTTTCTTCATGAAAGTTGTTTCCAACATTTTGACGTATAACATATATTAATTTGGGAATTTTTGGAAATCATTTGATGTCATTCGGAAGTCCATCTTTGGACCGAAATAAAACTGCCCGATTTACTGTTTACCCGACCTTCGGGTCTGTTCGAATTTTTATAAATTTTTCCAGGCGTATTTTCAAAATACTTCCTTCACAAAAGTTGTTGGGTAAATTTGTGGATATAACATATAAAAATTTAAAAGATTTTCAAGGTGATTTGGGTGTTGAAATAAATGTATTTTGAGGACAAAATATTCTGTTGGAGCAAACTGATTTTGGTCTGATTTCAAGGGACAAAAAGGCATGGTTGCAGTTTGAACCGGATTTTGTGTTCTTCATAAGAAATGTTTATCGGGATGTGTTTTGTGACATATCCAAAATTGAGAATTTTTGGAGTTCGTTTACTATTTATTTTGATGGGATTTCGGTCACTGTATAAACTGCCCAATTTTACCCCGATTCTTTGGATGTTCGTTTTTATTAGCGGAATGGTGGGGGTGTCGAGGTTGAATGGTTGCTGCCCTTGTGGCGGGAATTGAGCCTGAATGTGTGTTTGAATGTGGATTGGTGATATGCCGTGTGTGTTTGGCCGTGAGATGTGGTGGTGTGATAGTGCATTCGCGTATTGTATTCGCGTGCCAAGAATGTGTGATTGGGTGGCGTGTTCGTGTGACGAGAATGTGAAATTGTGAAATGCGTGTGAGGTGTGCGTGTTTGGCAGTGTGTAGGTGTGGCCGTGTGACAAATGTGGTTTGAGTGGAATGAAGGTACTGGAATGTAGGATTGGTTTGAAAGGTGAGACCCTGAGGCGTGTACGTTTACGCGGGGTGAGGTCCGTCCTGAGGCATGTACGTTTACGCGGACGATGCCGTCCCCGACGAGGTGACGATGCCCGGCCCGACGGGGTGACGATGCCCGACGTGGTCGAAGACCGTTGGCCTGATGCGTTTACGCGGCGCGGTAGAAGGAAAGTGTGTGTAGGATTCCGTCCTGAGGCGTGTTCGTTTACGCGGGACGATGCCGTCCCTGACGAGGTGACGATGCCCGGCCCGACGGGGTGTCGATGCCTGACGAGGTCAGAAGACCGTTGGCCTGATGCGTTTTACGCGGGCGCGGTAGTGGTGGAAAGGTTGAGAATGAGCGGGAATTGGCTTGAGGTGCGAGGTTTGAGAAAGTGACGCGTGGCGTGAGTTGGTGTGCGAGTGTGTTTGTATCGCGTAATGCAGTGCGCGATTATGGGGTAAAATCTGCTAGGCATGGTATGAGACGTGCCCAAGTAGGTTTTGCTTTATAATCGAGGCACGCGCGCGGCTGTGATGTACTGCTGTGGTATGATTGGCGTGTGTATTGATATGTGGAAAGTGTGTGATGGCATGTGTGCAAGAATTGTATGTTGGGATTGTGGGCTAACGTGCATGGTGCGTATGCGAGAGAGTCCGGTATGTGTGAATGTTTGATTGCTGGTTGTGTGGTTGTTTGGTTGCGCGTTTGGATGTGTCTGGAATTACGTGATAGCCTAGGTGGGGCTTAGGTTGTGACTTATTGATATATGATCTCATGGTTGTTTCAACCAAACCATTTCAGAGCCCCCACCTAAATGTCGAGATTGAGGTCGACTCGGAGTCGTCGGGTGAGCAGACAGCTGCGGAGGATTCAGGTGGTAATGCCGAGGACAGTGAGTCAGAGTGGACGCCTTCGAGAGGGCGTAGGGGATAGTTCTGGGAGGAGGATGCGCCCCATTTTTGGATAGTGCTGACCTAGAGAGCTGATGTTGATATTTTGGTGGTTTGGAGTTTATAGTTTGGTGTGCTTATAAATTATTTTGTGGTTTGTATTGGCGGATGATGTAAATATTTGGAAGTGTAATATATGCTTGGTGGTTTGACGATTTGTTCCTTCCTGGTGTTCTCCAATTTTAATGTCCGGGATTTTTTTATTGCTTCCGCCGCGAGTTAACTCTGATGGATCGTTAGGTCAGCGACGTTATTCCTGGGACGTCGCACTCTGTTCGACCGGAGGCGGGATGTCGCGAGCTCGATGGGGTTCGAGGCGTGACATGGGATATCGCATTGAATCGGCCAGGAAGAGGATGTCGTGCGCTCGATAGGGTTCGAGGCATGACAAAACCCCTCATGCCCATACTTGTTGCTCCAACACCTGAACTTGGGTCCACAAAAGCCGTGCTCAGTCCCCGATGCTCTCGCTCTAGTCTAGCTCACAAAGACCATGCACGGGTTCTTGATTAATGAAATTATTTTTATAATTTTAAAAAAAATCGAATGTTTAATTATTTTTATTTTTGAGATATCGAATTTTTTATTATTTTTAATATTTTATTCTCTTTTCATTTTCTTTTCTATTCTTTTTCCTTCTTTCTTTTTCTTCTCTCTTTTCTTTCTTTTCCTTCCTCCTTCTTCCTCCGCCGGCCACGCCGCCTCGGCGACCGGCCAAGACGCAGGTCAGCGAGCTCGAGGCTCGGCCGATCCAAGCGAGCCTCCGGTGAGCCGTGACCTCGCCGGCCTCGGCTCGAGCTCGAGGTAAATTTGGCGAGGCGAGCTCGCCCAAGGCCTTGCAAGATCCCGGTGAGCTCGAGCTCACCCGAGGTCGAGGACGAGGCGGCCGAGGTGGACGGAGTCGGTGTAGAGGGAGGCGAGGTCATCGGAGATGGCTGCGGTGGTGCTAGTAGAGAGGAGGAAGGAACGACAGGTGAGGTGGAGAGACGGATGGGAGGAAGAAGAAGGAAAAAGAAAAAAAAAAGAGGAAAATAATTTTAAATAATTTTAAAACAACAAAATTTTCGATAATTTTCATCATCAAATTTTCCTCACTAAACAACGGAAAATACTTTCCAAGTCTTTTTTAGGTTTTAGCCAAACACCAGAAAATGAACTCATTTTCCTGAAAAATGAGTTTCTAGAAAGTATTTTCTAGAAATGATACATTTTCCGTAAACAAACGCACCCTAAGGTAAAAATGAGTTGATTTAGAGGTTTTTCGATTTTTCAATTTTTTTGAAAAATTTGACCAGTGGTTAACTTCAGTAATTTGATCAAAAAGTAAACTCTTAACACTTCAGAAGATTATTGGCCAAATCAATGTCTTGACTTAAACAAAGTATGATGGAACTTGAAATTTGACTAAAAAAAACTGAAACGACTCTTTTTGAATGAGAAACGGGCCATGTCGCGATCAAAAACTTTAATCTCAATTTTTTACCTTTTTGTATGACGTATTGGCTAAATATCAGGTGTCAACAATATAAAAAAAAAACCTTAAACTTATGGAGGATTTATAGAATATCAGAGTAGCGTCGCTCCATTAACACTTGAAGCCATCACAAATAGTCAAAACTTTGATCAGAATCAGAGTAACAATGGTGCCGAGAACTATCAGCTTTATTTTCAAGTTGCGCAGCCACAACTTCCTTCTCATTTGGTTCCCCTGCTGCCTGACATCTTGAGCCTGCAAGTACAAAACTCACGTCAGTCGGACATCGAGATCCTTAATTCTTTAGGCCAAAAGACAGTAATCTTTGTTTTTGCTCCAAATACATCTATTCTAGGCGCATCTGAGCTTTCGAGCGCTTCACAAAAAAATGCTTTCCCTACGACACATCCTTCCATTGCTTATCAACCTTATAAACTACGATGGAAACGACTAAAGCTACGTAGGTCATGCAGTTCTCCTACTGAATTTGGAGATCCAAATAAAAATTGATCATGAATTTCCGCCCCTCCTTCCATCCATTTGATATGAGAAGATTGGGTAGTGGAAAGTGGACAATTGGAAAGCAGTAGAGAATTATAGCCATTATGATGAGTAGTTTTTTGCTGGTCTGGTAGCTAAATCTCTAACAAGTTCATATAACATTTCTTAGTAAGGTCTACAACCCTCAATTTGTTCTGTGGTTTAAAGAAATAATTTGATGCAAAACCTAGCAACAAAGACTCAAAAGCAGGTCGGCAGAGACAGCAGTGTTGGAGTTGGCGAATACTTCGGGGACTCTTGTTTCTCACACCGGGTACGCCCACGTGAGCTTAGGGAAACTGAAGTGTTGTCCGACGACATGTGACCCATGCGTGCGGAATGCGGGGGTTCGGGGGCAGCGCCCCCGACACGGGTGCCCCGCTGCCCGGTCAGCGGGCGGGGGTTCGGGGGCGCGCCCCCCGACGGGGGTTCCGTTGCCCGGTCAGCGGAAGGCTGCCCCGCTCGCCGGTGAGCGGGCGGGGGCTCGGGGGCAGCGCCCCCGAAACCTCAACGGGTTTGGGCTGGCCCGTATAGTGCGAGATTAAGAGATTTGATATAGGTTTAGGTTTTAGGCCCGTTTGGGGCATATATATATTTTGCTCGTTTTTTCTGATCATTGTAACGAGTTGAGTGGCTATAAACCGAAAAACATAGTGAAATCTCTTTGCAGGACGTAACCCTAATCGAGGGTGAACCTGGGTAAATTCGTGCATCGTCTATTTTCTCTGTTTTCTGCGTGATCGTTCTGTTTCGGTTCTCGATACGTCCCTTCAAGCAGCATGAAATCCGCTGAGTTGCCAGAAACAATATGGCGAAAGGAATGCGAAGAGGAATAGGAACAGATGGCAGTGAACTGGGTATCCCCAATATTGTTCAAGTCGAACAGCTTCCCTCTGAACTATGCAGTGGTCCAAAGACTCTAAACTAGTTCACCAGACAATTGCACTCGATAAATCATCTAGGCTGAAGCGATCAGAAAACGGAACGTTTGCATAAAACCTAAAAGAAGACGCAAGTACGGACTGTCCGTGTTTCGTTACAGCATCTGTTCAATTGAGCGAATGGGGAAGAATTGATGTTCACATATAAGCGGAATTTCTAGGCTACCAATTAAATAACTGTTGGATGACCCGAATAAGTAGGCTGGACTAGTAGGTCAATCAGTTTAGGAGAACGTGACTAAACAAACTATGTAAGAAAGACTACAACCATAGTATACTTGTGTTTTGCAATCTAATTGATTGCCTTTAACCCATCAGTAATGATGCACCAATCACTCAGTTTCTGATAACCAGATCCTGCCTCTTACATCCAATAACTAGTTTGTTTAACAAGATAAGAAAACATTGCTCTTGGATGGAATTCAAATATAGTAGATTGCTGACCGGAGAACGAAGATCCTCCGTCTTGTCAACCAGAAGCTCGAATTCCTCACCACGATCCAGAACCTGCATGACAGAGCGACATAAGTCCAACCTTACCCGCCAAATTCTCATATTTCTAACTTAGCAATCGAGTATGACACAAGGCATGCTGGCTCGCCTTTTCTATATCTTCCATCATAACCCTTTTCGCTTCTGATACCAGAGCTTTTCCCTTTAGCAAGTCTGCAGATCTCTTACGGATGTCAAAGCTCTGCTCGGCATGTTATGTGGCGGAGAACAACAAATAAATTGTATTCATGAAATTTATGAAGAGAAGGCCATGTTTACCCAAATGACCCGTTCAAGCTATGCGCCACTGCGGTCGCAGCTATTCCTCCACCAATGGACTCAACTGCCCCGAGACACTCCTTTTTTTTTTCTTTTGGTTTGGGGGGAAGCCGTAGGGAAGAACAACAGCTAGATTTCAGGTCGGGTGGTTACAATTTTTTCCTTCATTTGTTGGCCTTTCATTTTTCGTTTGTTCTTTCTTTTTTCTTTTTTTATTTTTGTTGCAGAAAACCATTTATTTGATGTGAGTTTTGAAATTCAAGAATATATGTCTTGAAATCGAGATAAACAGCAGACTACAATCAAGAACTAACACTACTAGTAAAGTATGTCGCCACTTCATAGTTCACCATGGAAAGGACTTGTAAATTTGAACAACTATAACTAATCAACTATCGATTTGGAGTGGTAAAGTATTTAAAACCATTAACCAACGGTAAGTACCTCAGCATTTCCTAATCTACTATCGGCCAAACTCGGGAATTAAAAAAAAATGTTAATAATCTACTATGAATTTATAGTGTTATAATATTTTTTTTTCCATAAGTTACAACCATCAATCGTAAAATTTACAACGAGCTTGCAAGTTAATAATTGATTAATGGGTCCACTTGCAGAGTTTATAAATAAAGGGTAATGTATGATTGCATCTAAGGTTCAGAAAATCATTTTTTTATTGGTACCGTACTAAATAAGGAATGGGCCCAATGGTAATATACTATTGGAACTTATGCTTATAAAAACTTTGTTGGTAAGTTACTAACTAATGGACCCACTTGTAAAAATTAAAAGGCATAGGAGATCTATTGTCGGATTTGAGGGGGAAGAATCATATTCGTTTGGTAACTAACTAATAAAATTATGGGGTCGCTTGTCAATATTGAAATAGACTGAACAATAAAGAATCCAATGAAATAAGTAATCATGTAGCATCATGCATGTTGATATAAAAATTAATGGTCTTTGGCAATCTCATTGCATTAACTCAAAAAACCTACCTTTCATATTTCATCACACTGGATCAACAGCTGGGATCAATGTAATCTCCAAGAGAAAAGAGTGATGTTCTGAAGTATATCATTTATATTGGGCTTATTTGAATCTCAAAGAAGACGACAATCAATGGTTGGAAGTTTAGTCTATTGATTGTTTAATTTAGTACGTGAATCGGAATTTCTTGGTAAAATAAGGTTGTGATCTATCGACCAAAAAAAAAAAAGGTTGTGATCTCTTGGACTCATAGAGTGACATTCTTTATGCCCGAGTATTTGTACGTCAATTTGAAATAAGATGTGCTTTTTGGGAAGTGGTCTTCCTTGTGTTCCTGTTGCTTTGTATTCAATCAAGTACAAATACTTGCATGCAGTGTTCTCTCTCTCTGTTAACAATTCGTATTTCGAAGATACGTATCATTTATTTCTCTTGTTAAAGGTGGCAAGTGATATTTCCCGTGGGAACTACTCTTTTGGAAGAAACCGAAAGGGTATGTAAAAACCAGTCAACACGATCAATCCAACAAGAGCATGCTGGTGACAAGTGAAGAATTCCAAAATGAATCCGTATCGTTAACTAGGAACCACTGTTCTAGTCAAGAAGGCATATAATGTTTAAAAGACTTTTCCTTTATTCTAAACAAACAGAACAATCCGTTCTATGCACGGCACGAAGAAAACAAGAGCACAGAATCTGGTTAAATACGAACTGAGGAATTCGATCCGATTTTAGTCAAGATCAAGGGGACTCCATATTGGGGATGAATAGTGAGCATAGGAATAGGGGCGTGCTTGTAAGAAGGAGATAGCCGCACTGAGAAATTCTGCAAAATTAAGGTGAGAGCAACTTTGGCTTCAACCAAAGAAAAGTTTTGGCCAATGCAAGTTCTTGGACCCCAACTGAAAGGGAGAAAGCATAGCTTGTTCTGGGTTGCCTTTGAGACTCCCTCGGAGAATCTCTCTGGATTGAACTCTTTGGCGTCATCGCCCCAGATCTCTGGATCATGGTGGATCAGGATCGTGGGCAGAAGAAGCACAACTCCCGGAGGTATTTGTATATCTCCCAACTTGGTTGTCTTGTGAACTGCTCTCATCGTCATAAATCCAGGCGGATATAACCTGAGTACCTCATTCAGTATCATGCTTACCTGCATATAAATCAATTTGTTGTCAGCTTGTTTTCGTCTAAAAAAACATTGAGAATGCAACGATTAAATTATCTAAACCTTGCCTAGTGGACCAAATTTCTCAAACATAATATCATTCACGTGATCTATGTTGTAACTCGAATGAGAATGCACAATACATATGTCTCACTTCTATCACTAGCAGAACCTAACTTGAGTGACTATCGCCTAAATATTCCTTTTTTTTACTTTTGGTTTGGGGGAAGGCGCAGGGAAGCACATCAACAAGATTTCAAGTCAGGTAGTTACAATCTTTTCCATCATTTTTTGGCCTTTCCTTTTTGTTTGTTCTTTCTTTTTTCTTTTTCTTTTTTGTGCAGAAAATCATTTATTGGATGTGAGTTTAGAAATTCAGGATAATATGTCTTGAAATCGAGATAAACGGCAGACTATGCGACTAGAGTCCTTACAATTTTTAGTCGGCTCAACCCATCAAAATCGGGTTCGTTGTTGCCGAAAACTTGCAGGACTTCCTCTCTTGCTTTGTCTTGCCAATTTTGATACTTGCTCAACAAGATCAAAGTCCAAGTAAGCAAAACAGAAGTTGTCTCTTGACCCGCAAAGCTGAATCCTTTGCACTCTTGAATCACATCCTCTATGCTCATACCCTTTTGATGTCCAGACTCTTGAATTTCTTTCATGTTTGATTTTAGCAACAGCCCCAAGAGATCATCATCATCGACTCCTCCTTCCTTCATTGCCTTCTCTCTTTTGGTCACTATGTCTTCCAACAATCCTTTTACTTTGTGGTCGATTTCTTTCATCCTCCTCTGCAGTTTGGTTGGCAAGAGGCTGCATTTCTTTTATATACAAATTAACTTCAAGATGAATACTTTACATGTTAATTTAGTTTCTACAGTTATGCGTGTCTTGCTACGTAAATGCACTCAACCATTTTCATCCATTCTATTGAGTTTAAAAGTTGGAAAACAGCAATCTCGATAAAAGCTCGATAGAAGATTTGACAGGAAAAAATTGCAGCAAGCCCTATATACTGCCTTGCAATTACAATCCAACCACCATCCATGATTTGCAAAATCATAAGAAAATTGTCTTCAGAAACTTTTTAAGTTCCTTACGTGGCAAGATGCTGAAAGACCGGCACATGATTTGCAAAATCGGAAAGTTGAAACTGACTCCATGGATAAGGATTGAGGAAGTCAAACTGAAGTTTGTTACTCTTTTTTCTAGTCATATGCTTTTGATACAGTTAAAGATCTCGAGATAAATTATTGCTAAATCAATCTCAACTTACCTCCACCCGGGAATAAACGCAAACCGAAAAATCTTGTTAGTGAGGCCAATTTGTTCTTGTTGAAGAGGGAGGATGCTCTTGACTGCGTCGTAGGTAACACCGAAAGCAGCTCTACAGAGTACATCACCTGTCAAATGCTTGAGGTCAGGCCAAACATCCACTTCACCAGCCAAACTCTGCTTCTTCCATCCCCCAATCATCTCCTCGCAACTTGAACGTGTTGCACTCACTACAAACTGTAATCATTCGACAATTAAAAAGCTAAATGAATTGAATGTATGAAGTTTTTTTATAATTAATTACTTTAAGTTCCGTTAGATGTTGCATCTGGTCAGAAAACTATTAGCTACAAGCAGTAATACCTTCAACTTCTCATAGTGAAAAGCCGGGTTGATGATCTTTCTATGTTTGACCCATTTCTCACCCTCAACCATGATGAGCCCCGATACTAAGAGATCTTCAGTGGCCTTGGGATGTGGCTTTTCGAATTCATTGATCCGTGAAAATATTTCCTTCAATATGTCTGATTCCATGATGTTCAATACTGGCGTTGGCCCAAACCATGTAAAGCAAAGCTTCCCTGCAATAACCATTTTTCACAGACTTGATTTATTAAGGCATCAAATGGCCACCGGATTCCATATATCACCCATTTCTGTATGTCAGGTGCTTAAACTAGCAGATACATTCTGAGTACCCGAGTTGAAACCCATCCAGCATATCGATTTGCAAGAGAAAATAAGTAGTTTTAGTAGCCTTCTAACAATCGGTTACTACATAGCTGTCATTCATATGTTATGTGACTTTGCCCCTAAAAGCAATACTCAATCTTGTAAATTCTAACTTATAGCAGGATTTGGTCAACTTGATTTCCATGAGTATATCTCGATTAAATTGCTGAAAAGACACCAGAAATATATTTCTTTAGCAGGTTTTTAGCTAGAAATTACAGCTTCTAGTTAGTTGAAATTGTATATTGTTTGATACCAGGAAATTGAGTTTGTCTAATCAATGATATTATACATATGGCTAAAAAGTTCAATTGTATTTCAACTTTGATGGCATGCATACCGTATTTCTTGATGGAGTGATGAATGAAAGGCAGCAAGCGAGGAGCGATGTCGTTGGAGAAAGGAGTGACGGGTTGAGATTGGGCTTCCTTGCTCATTCTCATGTTGTCCCTGAGGTCTTGAAACAAAAGCCTGTAAGAGGTTCCATTTAGACCTTGCCGTCTCAGACATCTTTCTAGCTTCTTAGGCTTCAACCAAAACAAACACAGTACTTTCCATGCACAAGTGAAGAAGGTGATCAGAACAAGGGAGAGAACAATAGAATAAGCCAAGGACATTTCCATATTCTACATTAAGCATATGACACGCTTGCCTTCTTTCTGGGAGAGGATACAAATAGGACTCTTGGTGAACAGAAAGACGTGGTATTGTATCAATCTTTTGTTGCGTTCATCGGAAAATGGAATTCGTTGACTTGCTTTTAATAGAGGAGAATCTTCTTCAACTAGCATGTTGCTTAGTTTCTAAAAATATCACATCCTTTGTGGTCACGTTATGTGCCCATACCTCGCATTCAGATCTAGAGACATTTGCCGTTAAAACCGCTTAGTTTTTAATCCTCATTCTAGCATGCTTCGCTGGGCAGGTAACAGGTCAACTAGGTCCTTAAAATATCGTGCAAAAATGTCTCTAGATCTGAATGAGGATTGTGTGGGAAAGCAGGTGAGATGAGGGTCTTGTTTTGTAAGGGTCAAGAAGGAGGATGGAAGCAACACTGGCGACGACGACAAAGTCTAAGTTGATGCCGACGAGGTGGACGGAGTTAGATTTGGAGCGGAGGTGAGCGCCGGCGTGCAAGGGTTTTTTGGCCGAATTTTGTGGAAGAGGGGTGGAGGAGTCCGTGTTTCT